AAAAAAAAAAAAAAGATGGGGCTCCTGGGTGGCTCAGATGGTTAAGCGTCTGCCTTCAGCTCAGGTCGTGATCCCAGGGTCCTGGGATGGAGCCCTGCATCAGGCTTCCTGCTCAGCGGGGGGCCTGCTCCCCCCCCAACCCCACTCTGCTTCTCCCCCTGCTCATATTCTCTCTCTGTATTTCTGTGTCTTGAATGAATAAATAAAAAATCTTTTAAAAAAAAAGAAAGAAAGAAACCTCACTTGGAAGGTAAGAAAACTCTTCTGGGGTAGGGCTCCTTCATCACCTAGATGAGATCTGGCCATGGACAGCAGGAGGGGGAGGGTGACAGGCAAGGTTCAATTTGATCACAAATCTACTTTTAAAAAAAAGATTTTATTTTTAAGTAATCTCTACACCCAATATGGGGCTCAAACTCATGCCCGTGAGATCAAGAGTCATATACTCCTCTGACTGACCCAGCCAGGCACCCCACAAATCTTTTTTAATGCATGTTCTTAAAAACCTAAGGAAATATACCAAAATTATAGTAGACATTATAGATGATTTCCCCTATCCATGCTAGTCCTATGAATTTAAAATGAATCTTGTGGCCTGGGTAGCTGTCAGTTAAGCATCCAACTCTCCATCTTGGCTCAGATCATGATCTCAGGTTTCTGGGATCAAGCCCCATATTGGGCTCCCCACTCACCGGTGAGTCTGCTTGGGATTTTCTCTCTCCTCTCCCTCTGCACCCCTGCCCCACTCATGTGCTCACTCTCTCTCTTTCAAATAAATAAATAAAATGGCATCCTGTCTTATTTGAACTTAACTGTTAGCATGGTTGAGTGTTTCTTACCGTATTTATTGACCAACTGGGACCCTAAATCCGTGAACTGCCCAGTCGTAGCACTTGCTTGTTTTTCTATTGGATTCTCTGACTTTTTCTTTAGATAAAATTAGGTTTTTTTTTAAAGATTTTATTTATTTATTTGACAGAGAGAGCACAAGCAGGGGGAGCAGCAGAGGGAGAGGGAGAAGCAGACTCCCCACTGAGCAGGGAGCCTGATGCATGGCTAAATCCCAGGACCCTGAGATCATGGCCTGAGCTGAAGGCAGACACTTTACCGACTGAGCCACCCAGGCATCCCTAAAATTAGTTTTTAATATTGCAAATATCTTCTCCCTGCCTGGGGGTTAGGGTTTCAATGAATGGCGGGGGGACACAATTCAGTCCATAGCAACTTGAAAGAGACATTTAGAACAGATGTAACCAACAAAAGTATTCATTTCCAGAATATGCAAAGTATTCCTCAAAAACCAGAACAGCAACTCAGTAGAAAAATGAGCAATAAATAACAACAAGCAGTTCCGGAACAGAAAACTCAAGCGGCTACATGCACATAAAAAAAGATGCTCGACCCCATTGGTAATCAAGGGAATGAGTAAAGATACCATTTGACACCAATCAAAGTAAAAAGTTTGATACCAGCAGAGTATGGGGATTCACATTACTAATACAGCTGAGGGTCCGTGTACACAAGCACGTGTGCGCTCTCTCTCTCTCTCATTAATTAATTATTTTTTAAAAAGTGGAATGATGAAAAAAAAAAAGAAGTGGAATGATGATGAGAACCCAGATCAGAGAATTGGGAAGCAGATTCTTGGGGAGTGGAGAAAGCCCCCTCCCACGGGGATGGTTCCAGAAGTGTTTGTGGCAGGTCCTTCCCTATAGTGAGCACTGGGGGCCATGCTGGGCTATACATCCGTGCTCAGAGCCAGCCCTGCACCCCAGAGCTCAAAGTCCAGACTGGAACCAGCCAGTGGTCAAGTGGGAGCCCTGTGCAGGGCACTGTGGGGCAGCTGGTTCCCCAGGAAGGCTGTGAAGGTGGCCTGGAAATGGACGCAGGAGAGAGGCTGAGCTCTATTCTGGGTGAAGAAGGGCCAGGGTGAGGAAGGAGCAGGACCACCAAACAGCTTACACTTGGCACTCCAGGAAAAGGGGTCCCAACCCAGCAGAGGGCCCGGTGCCTCTTCCTACTGTCCCCACCTTTTGACCAGGGGCTGCTACCCTCCTCCTCCTAGAGCCTCTTCTCCCACATAACCCCCCCAGCCCCCGGCTGGTCTCACCCTGCCCTGCCCTCTCAGGCCCTGAGCTGTCATTGTGGCTAGGTCACTTGGGGACAAGGGGGTAGGC